GCTCTGAAAGAAGCAGCTGCTCAGCGGACAGCAAAGAGGTCAAAGATCGCGGCGAGAAGGCAGAGGCCGTGCAGCACCAGAATCAGAGCCGCAGCACCTCCTCCTCTGCTGTGAACGGAACCGACGACAAAACTGAATATGTAAGGAAATACAGAACGTTAAAAACAAATTTTATGTGAAAATTTGTATAGAGTTGCTTTGACAACAATAAACAAGCCACTGTCTCATATGAGAGACATATTGACCTCTCTGTCAATATGAGAGGGTTCTGATCAGCAGAGATTTTGTCAATGTTTATTTCTCTTGTTGATCAACAGTGTCAATATACTTTCTTTCTGTTGGACTCGAAGTCATGGTTCATCTGTGCTTGGTGTACTTGCCTACTAAGATGGCGGTTCATTAGTGTGGATCCAGTCCAGACCTGTTTCATAAAATACTATGCATAGCCAAAAAATGGCTGGATGTACTTTTAATATGTATCTTTAGAAGCAATTGAAAACCAAATGGAAGTATAAAAACATGCACAATGCAATGGATTTTGCAAAATAGAGCCCCTAAGAAAACCAAAAAATCAACGACGCCAGTGATCAAGGTTTCCAGCGATCAAGGTTTCCAGTGATCAAGGTTTCCAGCGATCAAGGTTTCCAGTGATCAAGGTTTCCAGTGATTATGGATTCCAGTGATCAAGATTTCCAGTGATCATGGTTTCCAGTGATCATGGTTTCCAGTGATCATGGTTTCCAGTGATCATGGTTTCCAGTGATCATGGTTTCCAGTGATTATGGTTTCCAGTGATCAGGGTTTCCAGTGATCATGGTTTCCAGTGATCAAGGTTTCCAGTGATCAAGGTTTCCAGTGATCATGGTTTCCAGTGATCATGGTTTCCAGTGATCAAGGTTTCCAGTGATCATGGTTTCCAGTGATCATGGTTTCCAGTGATCATGGTTTCCAGTGATCAAGGTTTCCAGTGATCAGGGTTTCCAGTGATCAGGGTTTCCAGTGATCATGGTTTCCAGTGATCAAGGTTTCCAGTGATTATGGTTTCCAGTGATCATGGTTTCCAGTGATCAAGGTTTCCAGTGATCATGGTTTCCAGTGATCATGGTTTCCAGTGATCAAGGTTTCCAGTGATTATGGTTTCCAGTGATCATGGTTTCCAGTGATCAAGGTTTCCAGTGATCATGGTTTCCAGTGATCAGGGTTTCCAGTGATCAAGGTTTCCAGTGATCAAGGTTTCCAGTAATCAGGGTTTCCAGTGATCAGGATTTCCAGTGATCAAGGTTTCCAGTGATCATGGTTTCCAGTGATCAAGGTTTCCAGTGATCAAGGTTTCCAGTGATCATGGTTCCAGTGATCAGGGTTTCCAGTGATCATGGTTTCCAGTGATCATGGTTTCCAGTGATTATGGTTTCCAGTGATCATGGTTTCCAGTGATCATGGTTTCCAGTGATCAGGGTTTCCAGTGATCAAGGTTTCCAGTGATCATGGTTTCCAGTGATCATGGTTTCCAGTGATCAGGATTTCCAGTGATCATGGTTTCCAGTGATCATGGTTTCCAGTGATCATGGTTTCCAGTGATCAAGGTTTCCAGTGATCAAGGTTTCCAGTGATCATGGTTTCCAGTGATCACGGTTTCCAGTGATCATGGTTTCCAGTGATCAAGGTTTCCAGTGATCAAGGTTTCCAGTGATCAAGGTTTCCAGTGATTATGGTTTCCAGTGATCAAGGTTTCCAGTGATCAAGGTTTCCAGTGATCAAGGTTTCCAGTGATTATGGTTTCCAGTGATCATGGTTTCCAGTGATCAAGGTTTCCAGTGATCAAAGTTTCCAGTGATCAATATTTCCAGTGATCAAGGTTTCCAGTGATCAGGTTTCCAGTGATCAAGGTTTCCAGTGATCAAGGTTTCCAGTGATCAAGGTTTCCAGCTGTTTTGCTGCAAATTCAAACTTTTTTGTTCCTTTGTCCCCAAGCGGTGTACTGGTTGCCACGGAGACGTGTCAAAGGACAGTCCGGTTGTTTACGCGGAGCGTGCAGGTTACCATGACGCCCTGTGGCACCCCACCTGCTTCGTGTGCTCAGACTGCGGCCACGGCCTAGTGGACCTGGTCTACTTCTGGTCCAATCAGAAGCTGCTCTGCGGACGGCACTACTGCGAGTCGGTGTGGCCGCGCTGCTGCGGCTGTGACGAGGTGACGCGCCCGCTCTGAATGCATGATGAACCTTTCTTCACTCTCTGTCTTTGAATCAACGCTGCTTCTCTATCCTCAGCTCATCTTCTGCAAGTCGTTCATCACGGCGGAAGACGGACGGACGTGGCATCCCCAACACTACTGCTGCTGGAAGTGCGGCCAGAGCCTGGATTCGCCCTGTCAGCACTGACGAAACGCATCACAAGCAGATGGGATTATTATTACTGCAAATCATGTCTAACATGGTTCTTTCTGTTTGTAGACAGCTGTAACATGTAAATCCTAAGCAATAAAGAGCTGACTTATGTTTCTAGCTGACATGTAAGGCTGTTTATTTTCTGGCTCCACCAACACAAACGGTAAAACTGTTTTATTAGTGCATGAAACACTTGAAGGGACATTAAACTGTCCTCCAAGCACTTAGAGACTCACCCAGAAATGTGTTTAAAATGGCTGAAGGAACTTCCTCTCAGTCTCTCAGCTCTTAAATCCCTGACAGCAGCTTTGTACGGAAGCCCAGAAGTGACATTTCAGGGAAACATCATAAAACCAATGAAATCAAATGTATAACGGAATTGCTGCATCCTTAAAAAGTCTTAAATCTATGTACATAGAATTAAGGCCTTAAAATGTATTTAAGTTGGCCTTAAATGCTGTAATCATATGTTGTAAATTTTGTCATGGCAGGACTGTTTGATGTTATATATTCTGTATAGTTATTTTTATGTCACAGGACTTTTCTGTCAGGCAAAGGTTTGAGTCACATGCAGAAATCTTCATTGCATTCTATGACTCCAGGTGGTTCAGGCTACCGCTACCTAGCTGCTAATGTGCTCTAGCTAACTAGGTTTATGCATCTGTCATAAGTAAATTTATTGCCAGTCAGTTGGAAAACTTTAATTTTCAGCATTGCTCGTTGCATTCTGTGCAAAATCTTTGAATTTCAAACTTAACCTACAAGGTTAAAGTTGTAGGGGCAATCTCAAAATATACAACTTTCTTCTGTAAATTTCTGCCATTATACAGGTCTTAAATCTAATCTATAATGGTTTTACAGGGGCATTAAAACCAGTCATGATTATTGTTCCCACTTGTGGTCACAGGATACTTCCTCTACTGCCCATTAGTTTGCTAGCATTAGCATTGATAGGCTAACTAGCATGAATTGCCTTCTTTATCGACTGGCCATTAGCATGGATAGGCTAACAACTAGCATGTCAATGCTGATCACCCACAACTCAAACTTTTAATCAAAGAAAATGGCTTTGATTAAAATACTTCTTAGCGGTGTCTCCTAGATGCATTGGAATGTTTTTTTGTAGTTTACTGCAATCCAACATGACATGTTGCATAAACTTTCTGTAACACCGAGATGAAGTTGGCTCCTGATTGAGGCTCCGATTCGGCTAAATGGAATAAATGAAGAAATTTTATTATTGGAAAAATGTAGGTAGCCAAAATAAATCAATATTCTTGGAGGTTTAGAGACTTGATGCATCCTCTAAAGACACTTGTTTTAACTATTTTAACACCAAATGTGTCTTGATATGCAGTGATACATACAGTAGCATCGGTATTAGCACAACTGCATCATCAGCTAACGTTAGCATTTCCGCTCTTTGAGGTTCAGCCAATCACAGCAAAAGAAGATTAATACTGCTCCCGGATAGGCTGCTTCACAAACGCCAGCCAATCGCGTGTCGAGTAGAACTGCTCCTACTGAGCTACACTTTCCATCAAATATTTTAATATAGATCTATTGTTAATACTCCACGAATAGTTTGGAGCCACTTTCCACAGAAATTCAGTGAATAGAATAGAATGAGGGTTAACTGTTGACATTTTAAATACTGAATCTTATAACTCATCTCCATTTTAAAAAATTGCACTGTGATCTAAAAATGAATGTCAGCTTTAGGTTTCAGCACAAATAAATGAAAATGTGATGTAAGAGCTTTAAAGGGGCATCAGGTTGGATTCCATACTTCCCAGCGCTCAGCTGACCTACTCCCTGCAGGAATGCCAGGTATTCCTGGTCTCTGGGTCGAGTTCCCGGGAAGTGCCGTCACCCAGCTGATCCACAAAAAAACACATTATTTTTAGTCCTGAAGCCAAACGAGTCCAGTTTGATTTGCTGAGATTTGTGGCTTTTAATAGAGTGTTGTGTAATCATAGCGATTTTATGGAGGAGCTGGATGCATTAATCACTTCCTTTGGTTTTTGAAACAGATTATACACCAAGATTTGAACTAATATGGTCAAAATGAGACACGAAAGTTTCCAGCTACATTATTACACAAATAAAACTCACATGTTGCTGTTGGCAGCAACATGTGAGCACGTCTCTGCTTTCATTTAAAGGAAATTGTGCCTGAAGTTAGTGAATGCGATAAAACATCCAGTTATTGACTTCAGTTTGCAACTTCAAATGGTTGCAGGAAAGACATCAGTAATGACCAATGGGAGTGATTGTTGCTGCCTAAAAAAAAGTCTGAAAATTATTATTTTATAAGAGAGAAACATACTGTAAAACTGCCATCTTGAAGCATATCTTCCTTTTTTTTACAACTTAAGTCTGTAAAAATCTTTGTGTTGTTCCTGGTATGTTGTCAATAACAGCGATATCTGTCCAACAGCTGCTGATGACACCAGGATCCAAAACGGACCAGTCAAAGCCCAAACCTCAACCTGGTGGAAACGGGTGGAAGCTGTGGAGAAACCAACGTTTGCAAGAACAGTAGATCCAAATAAGTCACATTTAAAGAAAGAGGGAGGAATTTTTTATTCTCATCATTATTTTAAGCATTTAGTATTTTATGAGAAATTAGAAATCAAGAGAAAAAATCTTTTTTTTTTAAATTGATAAATCTGGATTGTTGTTGATTTGCTGTAGGAAACGTCTGCTGCCAACGTTTTAATCCCCCATTTCAGTTATAAAATGATGATCCATCATCACATACAGAAAGATTTGAACCCAAGACCTTCAAGCTGCAAAGCCAAACTCATAACTGCTCCATATGTCATAACTAACACAGAAAAGACATTTTTAGATGTTTCTAAATATTTTTATTTCTTTTTTTTAATTGAAATGATAAAAAAGGCAAATAACTAAATGCAAACAACGCAGCAAAGCTGCTTCAAGCTGTCAGTCCTCTTCTTAGGGAAACATTTTCAGCCATATGTATTATTTAGTCAACGTAACAACAATATGATTCTTGGTCTGGAAAAAACACAGAAAATGACAATTTATAATAACTCTGTAATTCAAAGTTAGACTGCTGTGCACTAAACAGATGGTTTTCATTATTGCAACCAAAATTAACAGAACAACTGTTTGATGAAAGATTGTATAATTTTCTATAATTTTTTGGGCGGGAATCTGAATTTCCAGAAAAGTCAACATTCTGAGATTAAAATCAGAAATTGGTTTCAAAAATAGTCTGAATTCTGAGTCTAAACTGAACTTTGAGATTAATTTCAGAGTTATTTTCTCCTGAATCCTTTTCCATACAAATGTGTTGATTCATTCATTTATAGGATTATTTATTCCTAATTCAGACCCACAGAAGAAGTGATATCGGCCTTTTCTCATCCATGATGGCGTCCTACTCCTTGTCCTCGTCCTCCGGCCCGCCGCCCTCTGACGGTAATATCTTCATTGGTTTGACGCCTCCCACGTAAAAAATGGGAAACATTTTCTCAGACCAGCTGTGTGAGAAGGTGCAGATGTGCTTGAGGGTTTTGGGGTCGGTAAAGGACAGTTTTCCCCTATCCAGGTCCAGATGGATCCGGATGGCCTGCAGTTTTCCTGTAACGTGGAAGCTGGCGGGCGCTCCTGAGGAGAAATAGGAATATTTTTCTTTGGAAAAACAAACAGCCCACAATCCTGACCTGAACTGAATCGGTTTCTTCCTTTTGAACGATTCTTCTGCAACGCCAACGAACCAGCTGCTGCAGTCTGCCACCTCCACGGTCCAGAAGTGGACCCCCGCAGTGAGGCCCCTGGAGGCCGAAACAATCCCCTCCGACTCAAACCTCTCGGGATTCCCGGGAAGTTTCTGTCTGCTTCCCCGCCTCACTGCAGCGAGATCCTCGCAGATGATCAGTCCCGGTCCGGCCGTGTTTGGGTCCAAAACCACTGGCGTACGGGACACCATGTGTTTGACCTTCTTCCAGGCGTTAAAGCGCAGGTTGCCCAGGTGTTTGGCCACATCCATTAGTGCGCCTGCAGCCGGCGGGGGCAGCTCCGGCAGGGGGCGCTGCTGCTCCGCTCCTGCAGCGCTGGAGCTCTGCAGGAACGCAGCATCTTTACATCTCAGCGCCCTTTCTGCAGATTTGATGGTGTCGTACAGAGCAGACATTACTCCGTCCAGAACCTTAATCTTCTCGTTCACCTTCAGACTCTTCTGCTCCTCTTCCTCCTTCACCGCAGCCACCCTGACCTCCTCTTCATCACGCAAAACCCGCTGCAGCATCCTGAACTCCTTCCGAATCCTGGCCTCCGTGAGTCGGGCCTGGGAGTGAATGTGTTGGGCAGTCAGGTCCAAGTCTTCCTTGACTTTTGTGAAAAGCTTGAGTTTCTCCTGGAGGGGCATGATGGACTTCCGCAGCGCCTCCCTGCGGTCCTGCGCCACCTCGGCTGCGGGGCGGAAGACGTGGCCGCTGTGCTGCTGGGAGTCCCTGCAGATGAGACACACCGGCTGCTGGTGGTCCAAGCAGAACAGCTTCAGTTTCTCTGAGTGCAGCTGGCAGACATCTTCACGCTCCAGGAGGAAAGCCTCGCACGTGTTCTTCAGCACCAGGTTGCACGTGGGCTCCTTGCGGTCGGAGTCGCAGTTGCAGACCGGACACTTCCGGACCTGTTTCTGCGTCCACCACCTGTTCAGACAGGCCCTGCAGAAGCTGTGGCTGCAGGACAGGAGGACCGGGTCTCTGAAGATGTCCCGACAAACGGGGCAGGACAGTTCTTCTTCTAAATTTGAAGCCATGTTGTCTTAACGCTGCCGCAAAGGTAAAAACAGAAAGTTAGAGCCGCGTTTCGCTCTAAATATATTTATTTCTGAGTGTTAAATAAACTTACGTTCAGTTCACAAAGTCAGTCGGACGACAAAGTTTTAGGTTCCGGAGTCTCTGAGGTCTCCAGAGGTAAACAAATGCTGCTTCCGGTGACGTGCTGTCGAAGCCCGCCACAGACATACGTGAACGCGGCCGCCATATTGGTCAGGGTCTTATCGCTTCCTCGTATTAAGGGAGGAACTGTTGCCATCTCCTGCTTATCTTATGGTTGCACTGCAAACGCCACGCCAAAATCTAAACTGGCTCTTTTTACTGTGACTTGACTAAACATATATTTAAGTACAATTTCTGGGTACTCTGCTCACCTCTGATTGTTGTGAATTATTAAAATATTTGCTACCCGGGTTGACCTGCACCGGGAATTTTCCTTTTTTTTTGGAACTCTAAACAGGTGTCTGTAAATCAGTGCAGTCTCTGGCACTGATCTAGCCCTCATGTCCATTCGTATAAAAACAAATCCACCCCTTTAACTCCAGGTTGTCCTTGTGTTGCTACCTGTGTGTTATGGAGATAAGGAGGCGATGCTCCACCCCTTTACGCACTTTGCACCAACAGGAAAAACCAGGTAATTCCAGCCGCAATGATTCATGACTTCCACGCAAACGAAACATAAAGCTCATTTCACCAACATAGAAGCTGGAACTCCTTCCAAACAGAAGTAAACTTGAACAGTCAGGATTTTTGAAACTACACTGAGTATTTTCTATTTTTGTGCTGAAATGTCCTTCAGACCAGAGGAGGATCTGACCTGCGTCATCTGCCACAACATCTTCAAAGACCCGGTTGTCCTGCCATGCAGCCACAGCTTCTGCAATGACTGTGTGAAGTCCTGGTGGTGGGATAAGCAGGAGTGCAAATGCCCCGTGTGCAAGAGCATCTCTCAGATGAGACAGCCGCCTCGCAACTTGGCTCTGAGAAACCTGTGTGAGACCTTTGCGTTGAAGAAAGGAAAAGATGATGGTGACTCAGAGGCTCTCTGCAGGCTGCACTCTGAGAAGTTCAAGCTGTTCTGCCTGGACCACCAGGAGCCTGTTTGTGTCATCTGTCGAGATTCAAAGGCGCACAACAGCCACAGGTTCAGACCGATTGACGAAGTCGCAAAGGAAAGCAAAAAGACAGTGCAGATCTTATTGTTGCCCCTGCAGAATAAGCTGAAACTCTTCAAAGACGCTGAAGAACAATTTGAAGAAAAAGAAAATTACATAAAGACCCAGGCTGAGCACACAGAGGCACAGATTAGAGAGGAGTTCAAGAAGTTTCACCAGTTTCTCCAAAAGGAGGAGAAGAAGAGGGTTGCTGCTGTGAGGTACAGAGCAAAGACCAACAATAAATTCTTGAGACGTGATGCTGCAAATCTGAGCAGAAACACAGCTTTGCTTTCAGAAGCAATCCGAGTCACAGAGAAGCTGAAAGCTGAAAACGTCACATTTCTGCAAAACTACAAGACCACAGTGAAAAACATCCAGCAGTGCTCTGTGCTGGACGACCCCCGCCTGGCTTCGGATATGTTCTAAACGCCGGTGAACACCTGGGCAACCTGGCCCGATCTGTCTGGGTCAAGATGGAGGAAACGATCTCCTCCACGCCGGTGGTTCTGGATCCAAACACGGCTCATCCGCACCTCTCCCTCTCTGAAGATCTGACGAGTCTGAGGTACACAAGGAGGCAAAAACGTCCCAAAATCCCAGAGACAATCGCCGACTACCGCTGCGTCCTGGGATCGGAGGGGTTTCTCTCCGGATCCCACAGCTGGGACGTGGAAGTGGGAGATGTGGATCACTGGAGTCTGGGTGTGGCAGCGCTTTCTGCCTACAGGAAGAAAGACATTAAGTCTGGATTATGGATCATAAAGTTTGAGAAAAATGAATACTCAGCGATCTCTCCACAGCAGAAGGTGAGGTTGCACCAATTAGAGAAGTTTCGAAAGGTCAGAGTTCACCTGCGGTGCAACAGAAGGAAATTGTCGTTTTTTGATCTGGACACTGGGGATCACATCCACTCCTTCACTCAGATTTCCAAGGAAACTCTTTTTCCGTATTTCAGCAATGGAAGAAGAATCCCTCTGAAGATTTTACCAGCAAACGGCTCAACTAAAGTCCCACCGCTCATAATAATCAGCTTTATAGTGATGATGATGGCTCTGATTTCAATTCTGAAGCTGATTTAGTCAGCCAGCCCAAGGTATAAGTGAACTATACTTTTCCTTTTTTCCCCATATTTTCTTAATTTTTGTTTTTTAGGTTACAACTCGTAATCAGATCTGATAATCTGGGTGTAGTTCAAGTCAAAGTTCAGGACTTTGACCTGAACTTTCAGAGCCACAGCAGTACATAGAACTGTTCAAAAAAGACTTTTCACCTCTGTTACGCACCACAACACAAGGTTAACTTACTTAGAATGACATTTGCGAGTTATTCGCCAGACAGCCTGCATGATCCCTGCAGCAGCCATTTGAGTTTTTCCAGACTGACATGAATCAAAAGCTACTTGTTTTTGATTAAGCACCGTATCATAAATGTTTTAATCCTTGCATCTATTTTGATTCAAGCTGACAATCTGGTTAGTAAATGTTTAGTTTAGAAAAACTGTCATTTATAAATGTGATCATATTTCTTTTGTTCTATGCAATTTATTGTTTACCTAAACATTATGAACAACTGAAATATTAAATTTACAGTTTAGTTGTCAAAGGAAATGTTACAAGCAATAAAGTTGGCGCCAGTGCAACAGATGCTTAATTTTCTGATTTATTAAACATTTCCCACAGCAACATAGTGTCTTTCTTCCAAATATCCATTGCCTTAACATTATTTCCTGTCATACCAGAAAATATTATTTATGTCAAAAAAAGTTTTTTTAAGCCTTTGCAAAGGTACAGCTTACATCACAGACTTTAATCTCAGAGTAATTCATTTGTTATCTGGTTTTTTACCACATACAGAATGTATTTGCATTGAGATGGTACCTGGAGCAGCAGGAGGGAGGATAGAAGTGAAGAATGAGGCCAGGAAGTATAGAGCAAAGACGGATGAGTGTAATGAGGTGCAGGACAAAAGATGAGGACCGTCTTTGCTCTATACTTCCTGGCCTCATTCTTCACTTCTATCCTCCCTCCTGCTGCTCCAGGTACCATCTCAATGCAAATACATTCTGTATGTGGTAAAAAACCATATAACAAATGAATTACTCTGAGATTAAAGTCTGTGATGTAAGCTGTACCTTTGCAAAGGCTTAAAAAAACTTTTTTTGACATAAATAATATTTTATGGAGAAATAGGTGGTATCGAAAGACCGTAGCAAAATGAAAAGTAGATTCATGTGTCTATGCAAGAGTCCAGTTCAGATGGTTTCTATAGACACAGAAAGGGAGTATGAAGATTTGAATATTGCAAAAAATGCACTAATTGTGAAAAACTATTATTAGAAGCTTAATTAATTTTGAATACATCACAAAATCCAGCGAGTAACCAGCAGTGGGAACAAGAGCCAAAAGTCTCTGGAAATAAAAACCATTGGAAATGAAAGATGATCATCAGACTCTTCATGTCTCAGGGATTTTTACCTCTGGTGTCACTCTGTCTCCTGGAGCTCCTAATTTTAGACGGCTGTTTCTTCTCCCATCAGCCGTCATTTCCTGTTTGTCCGGTGGGAACCGAGTGGACGCACACACATATTGTGAAAGGGTTCCTGTTCCTGAGGGTCTGTGGATCCACTCAGGGAGAAGCTGAAGGGCAAGAAGGCAGATGGAGAAATTCATGGCTGGACAGAAGGACTGAGAAGAGCCACGTTTTGAGAGAAGAAGGACAATTTGAAGGAACAAACGGGAGGAGGACGAACGATAAGTGTCCAGTTTTATGGAGAAAGAAAAGTGTTGAGTAAAATGTGACTGGAGGAGAGATTAACGGAGAAGTTGGTTCAAGTGTTGGATGGTGCCTGGAGAACAGGGAGGACAGCTGATGTGACTTTGGGGAACCAACAAGGTGACCTGGAGGAAGAGGAGCGGCAGACGTTCTGTGGTGGAGGAGTAAATCTGGTCCTGATGATGGGCTGCTGCCTCTTTGTTTACTATCGGGTAAATCAGATCGGACTTCAGCTTCTTCTGTTGGCTCATTTTAAACTCTGGAGAGTTAAGATTCCTAGGTTTGTGTTGTAAAGTCAAAGTAACGAGACAAAACAAAATGCCTCTCGGAAAAAAAATAACAAATAAGATCAATTAGGGACAAGAGTGTAAAGAAAGGGTGGAAGTGAAGTTTTTCAAATCCTTTAAAACCTTTTCTATTAACCAGATATTTTGTTCTGAAATATGGACACAATGTCTTCCTGAACCATTGTACCTGTGAGGCATTGTTGCCGTAGCCGGAACATGTGCAGAAACCATTGGACCTCTTTCACCCCTCCTGCCCATCCAGATGGGACTTTTTCATCTAGCTCGGTTCTTATGGCCTGAAAATGGTTGAGTATGAATCTACATCAATACCTGTTGTCACCTTTTCATGGTCAGGATGAAATCTGCGCTGCTCCTTCCAGTAAAGGCATGTGGGGAAACAGACCTGAACGTCTTTTCCTTAGTGATTGTGATCAGAAGCAATATTTTGAATGAAACCGTTAAACAGACTGTCTGGAAGAGATTATTTCAGGTAAATAACAGGAGAGGTTTGGAAGAAGTAGATTGACCTTATTTGGGATGAAGAAGCTCTTCTTCTCTGATTTCTGTAGTTATAGTTGTGTAACAACAGCAGAGTCGGGACACAACTCCCAACAAACAGCAGACTTCCCGCTATTGTCTCACCGATCACAACATCCTTCTTTTTCTGCCCCCTGTTTTCTTCTTCTTCTCTTCTGCTCTGTTGTCCCCCCTGCTGTTTATGTGACTGTTTTTTCCTCTTCTTGTCGCCATGGCAGCAGACAGGAAGCTTGGTTCCTTGTTCCTGTTGTTGAGAGCGTGAAGAGAGTTGTTATTGATGATTATTACCTGAGTGATGAAATGCTGAACAGTTCAGGATGAAGATCAGTCATTCTGAGGAGCATTATTACAAATTTATTCTTTGTTTCCAGAAACTCTGCATGAAAAACAAAGATATAATTGAAATGTCTCCAGTTTTCCAGTTTGAGTGTTTAGCTTTATGACAAACTTCCAGAAGACAATGCAGTCAGAGTTTTTTTGGGTTTTTTTGCAGTCGTTGTGGCCTAAAATTGCAGCTTTTGGGCTTCTTTTTCAATAAGTTTACATTTTTCTTAAGCTTTACGTTTGCCATAGCATGGACTTCTCAAAAGACATAAAATTGCTGCACAAACCTTCTAAAAAGGGATTTTAACATTTAAAGTGCTGATTGGTTGTTTTTAATTGGGAGCGACAGATGGACCACAGGGAGGAGGTGGAGGAGTTTTATTTTTTTAACAGGTTATCTGTCTCTTTCTCTACATGACGAGAGATTCAACAGACATGTAGAAAACATATTTTATTAAAATTACATGCTATCTCTTTGTGTTCATTGGGCACATTTGTGGAAATTTAGCAAAAAATCTGTGCAACATTTTTGACTGATGAGTGAATTTTGGATTAAGTTTTAATTGGCTTATTGAGGGGATTTTTTTTGGACCAATTAGGAGCTCTCTCATATTTACCAGACAATGAACTAAAGGGAGGTTGAGACTAGCCAATCAGACTTTAGAAAAATATTTTCTTTATTCTCTTAAACTTCCTGCTTTTCACACTTACATAATTAACACTCTGTGATTAATTACAGATGAATCTAGCACAAAAAACCTCCAGAAACTGGCCAATTACAATTAGATTTGGCGGAAATCAAGGTGGTTTAAATCATATCTGCGCTTAAAATCCTGCTTCCTGTGTTTTGTGTTGCAGAAGAAGAGAAAGCAGACCAGCAGAGATGCAGACGCCCTCAGCCTCTGCAGTCTGGACATCAATGTGAGTTCATCTCTTTGGTTCTGGTTGATGCTGAACCGTCGCTCTCAGCCCAGAACCAATGAGACGTCTGAGAAACAATGGTTTGAGAGGTCTGACCACTTCCTGAAAGAGAGAGTGAATCGTTCACACCTTTGAAATGAAAATAGGAGCAGCGCCTGGTTTTATTGCTGTAGTTGTGCGTTTGCTGCTGTTGCTGCTCGGCTGCATAGCTGTGACCCTCAGCAAGTGGAAGGGAGGCAAGAAGCTTTCAGGAAGGAAAATAATATAAACCTAACCTAAACATATATATATATTGTCATTGTGTTGGAAATCAAGTTAGGGATTTTTTTGCATAATTTCCAGTCAATATTTAGGTTGTAAACCCAAAGGATAAATAAAATGGTGGCTCTATAAAAATTACTAAAAATTTGTTGTAGTAGTGTGTGCCGTTAGTCGGGTCCAGTCGAGTTTTATCAGCAGGATTAAACTTGGATTATAATCTAAAATCGGTTTTGAGTTGTAATCTTATTCCCTCATCAAAAATAAACCTGGAGTGTTGCCTTGATTCTTTCATGCAAATCCTTTAATCTGCATGGCAACCAATCAGCTGTGAAAAACACCTGGATGGACCCCGATCTGCCTCAGAGGCATAGCTCCTCCCCACTCAGCTCCTTCAGACTAGCCAATAGCACTTAGCAAACACCTGGTGGAGCTGCACACCTGCTGATCTCATCATAGGATCTGCTTCTCCATGAAACGCTGGTAGAAACTTTGCTAACGGGCTAACAGAGAAGCCATGTTGTGATGACTTTCTGAGGGTGGAGCTGCAGAAAGAGGAGGAGTTTTAAAGAAACAGAGGCCCAGTTTGAAGGTATTAAATTAAGAAGTAAAACTTCTTTTCAGTCATTTTTGATAGAGAGCATTTTTCTAACACCTGAAGGAAACATAGTTACTTTATTGTGCTATAAATGTGTCTGGAAAACACGCAATAACACAATACTGCCCCTTCAAATACTAAATGTTATTTGGAGGAACAGATAAAAGTAATAATATAATAATAATAAAATAATGTATTTTTAAAAACGATTCTCAAGAGAAAAGACAAACGTTTGCTACAGAACATTATGACCAAGCTGTGCTTCATGTTGCGCCCCTCCTGCTGTATTTTTATCGGCGTGCCTTCCCGGGTTCCCCCGTCTCGGCACAGGAAGTGGACCCGTCTGCTCGGCCCGGCGCAGGAAGTGGACCAGGCTCAGCACGCTCCGGCGGGACAAACAGCCCGAACACACCATCAGTCTTACTTTGTTCGGAGCAGCGCCGGCAGATATGGGACCTGGAATAAGTTACGGCCCATTGTTTGAGTGCCACAGCAGAGTGAATCACACACAGAACGATTGTGTTCTGCAGGACACCGGGGCGGCCATATCTGATTCTAAAGGACAAAGGTCGCGACAGGAGGGTCCATCCAACTCATCCATCCCTGCTGATCAACATGTACAAACATACACAAGTGACCACATCAGGAAAAAAAAAAACACTTGCTGGTCACATTTAAATGAATTACAAATGAAATAACAATCACAGAGTTCACAGATCTGTGCAAAAGTTTTAAACCACTTGTAATTTTATGCTGTCTCTTTAAAAATCTACCTGTAAACGTAAAAAATGTAGGTGAAATACGTGACTACAACATTATTATCATTAAAATATAAAGATTAAACTTCTAGTCCAGGAGAAATCACTTCATATTTTTAGATATTTCCTTTTTTGTTTTATTTAACATTTTATTAATGATCAATTGTGTTTGGATTTTAATTTTAAAAAATTAGCATTCAACTCCTGATTAACTTTGAAATAGTTTTTGCCTCTTCTATTAATAAAAAGGTCAATATTATAATAAGTATGACGTTATACAATATGACTACTACTACTTATATAATGTTAATATGTAATATTATTAAAATAATAATAATATTACATATCATTATATAGATAATATAATTACATTACATACATATAATTTATGTATATAGGATAATCATACAGGTATAACTATATTATAGACATAATATATGTGTATATAATGTATATTATATATTATGTCTACATATATTCAATTCAGCTTATTTTTACAACACCAAATCACAACATTATTTTTATTATTTACTTACAAAGTAAGTAAAGTAAGTATAATTTGTTCTACAGTTAGAACAAATGATATTAATAATAATTACATTTCACTCTGTGTTTATAACAATAATTCAAAGCTACAAATAATAACTATAATGATGAAACAGTTTAATTTTATAGCACTAATTCACAGTTGCTAAGAACAATAACAATTTAATGCCGTTAAATTCAATTTGACTTACTTATTTAGTGCAAATTCAGGACAAATTGTAGTTATAATGAGTTTTTACTGTGAAGTTTGGATCCACAGTCGCCATTGATTTCATGTCCCCACTAGTTAATTGAAACCTCAGGCAACATTATAGATGCTCCGCGATCGATGTTGTTCAAAGATCACACTGAGGGAAGAAATATTAAATAAAAGGCAGTGACACACTTTTATTTCTTTTTGAAAAAGTTTTTTATTGCACAGTTGTTCAGCTCAACATTTGAGTCGCTTCTTTGCAGCTTTTTAGTGGGAAAATGTCCACGAACAAGGCGGGTCTGTCTGAGACGTGTGCAGACAAGCTGCTTCGTTTAGACAATAGCACTGATTCAAAGGTGGAGCTGCTTTTGTTTTAGCGACCATGAAGTGTCAGAGTTCGCTGACTCCAATGATAGTCACAGTTTAACAGAATGAGGATATTTATTTATTTTTAAAAGACTTTCTAAGCAGTTTTTATCCTAGATTAACCTTTTCTGGATTTACATGTCACTCTTTATCCATTTATTTTTGTTTACTTGTAAATAGAGCATCAGGTTTTCCATCCATACCTAAACATGGGAATTTCTTAAGAATCTCTGTTATGATTCTGTCCACATAGGGAAAACATCTCATGTTCATTTTCTCACCAAATAACTAGTAATGCCACCAATAAACATGGTTATTGATCTGGAAACTGCTGGACAAAAGCAGGACACGGCTTTGGCCGCCTGCAGGCTCACATCTCTCCCTCCCTTTTATTGAGCAGACTGGCGTTCCCAGTGCAACCAGTAGCTCCAGTACCAGCTCTACTATCAGTTCTAATAACTTCAGAATTGAGGTCATACTGACAAAAATACTGACATAAATAAATATATTTGAATAACAGTTTATTTAGATAAAAGTTTATTTAGATAAAAGTTTATTTAGATGACAGTCGCCTATGGCAGTGGAAACCAGTATAAACTCTCAGGTGCAACTTATGCTGTTTGTATTGCTAAATATTTAGCTTAAAACTAAAGCTAAATATTTAGTTTGAAGCTAAATAATTAGCTTACAAACTAGTTAAAAATCAGTTTGCAGGTAAGATAAGTATTTAACTTGAAGCTAAATACTGTCAGTAAATGTAATATTCAGCTTGCTAACTCAATATTTAGCTTCAAAGTAAATATTTAGCTGGCCAATTAAGGTAGTGGGCTAAGATCTTAACTAACTACCTAAATATTTTATCTGGAGCTAATTGAAAAATACATATTTAGCTTGTTAATGAAATACTTAGTTTGAAGCTAATATTGAGTTAGCAAGATAAATTTTTAGCTTGCTAACTCACTACTTAGCTTGCTAACAAAATGTCTGAGCTATTTTGGGTTATTTACAGAGTCTGAAAACGTGGATTTCAATGATGGAAGACATGGAAATCAAAGTTGTTCAGTTGTTGTTCTTTACAACAAATGTGCTTTAATAACATGTTCATGCTATTTGTAGTTTAGGAGTATGATAGAAGAAAAATAGACTTGAGTTGCTTTGGCAGAAACAGAACTTTTCTTTTAGCCTGATGTAAATAATTTTATTTTGGATGTTTGGATGCAGTTAGTCAGCATGTGGAGCAGCACTGCTTACGGCCGGTTACTGCTGAATCTCACTCAGCAGCCCCAGGCCTGGCAGACGTAGATCGGCTTTCTGGTGGCGCGTTGCGTTTCTAATTGTATTCTAAAAACCAAAGTTTGGCAACTCACACAAAGAAACCAAAACTTTCCTGCAGAAATTACTTTCTGCAATTGTATAAGTATTCATGGCATCATTTTCTTTCCACCAGCCTCTTACTATAATGCATCTTAACCTACTTATTTGTTCATTACTTTTAACACAGTTCTTTGATAAGCCAGCTGTATGCAGCAAATGAATGATCATGCAGTACCTTGCAGACCAGCACAGTTTGAGAAAGATTGCTTTAAAGATACTCTGTGGCTGTTTGTTGTTGACATCAACACAAGATATTTATAAATGACCAGAGAGCAAAATAAACGGTTGGACTTCATTTGGAGCAGAAATGTTGGTACATCAAGCCGAGGCATTGGAAATGAGGTGGAAGAATAAGAATGGAAGGAAGGAAATCAGAGAGGGACCGAGCCGAGTAAGTGGAGCAGAACCAGAGCGCAGAACCAGAGCGCAGGACCGGAGCGTCTGTGAGGGAGGGGCGACCCGTTATCTCAGGCAGCGCTGGGACAGAGGAGCAGACGATCTCAGGATTCACGCCGTGTTCGGACATTTCTCCTGGACGGTCTGCTCAGAACAGACCTCCAGTTTTCTTCTGTGAACTTTAAAGTCCTGGAGGATCAGTGGGAGCTTTTCCTGGGCTTTGCATGAGATGATGATTCGGTGGCGCTCTAACGGGACCTGTTGAAGTCTGGGGTCGTCAGCATGGTGGCAGGTCAGAGGCCCGGTTTCTGTGCTGGACACCTGCTGACCTCTGGGTTTACCTCTCAGAACCACAACATGGGGAAACAGGAGGAGGTGAGACCTTCCTCCAGTCAATCTGTGGTGGAAATCACACAGAAATCTGAAGATATTTTCATTTTCATTGTTAAATGGAGAATGAAAGACATATTTATCTGTAGTGTCTGAGTTTACATTAGATTTGCATATGTTGGTTTTATTCTTATCTGACCCAAAATTGAACAAACTTTATTTTCTAGTTTTTGTATTTTTTCTTTTCTAAATGATCTAAATCTAATTTTTTGCTCTCTAAATACATCCTGTCATTGATTCACTGTAGTTTTTATCTATTTTTATGTTATTTAGCTCCAGTTTATGCTGTCTGTTCTCCTCTTTTATCTCTATTTTTTGCCTTTTCTAATTTGTTGAAATTATTTGTAAAGTAATTGAATTGGAAACAAAACATTTATGTGAGAAATTATTCATATTTCTGTCTTTATCTTGTAGCTGTTTGATGGACCAGATTCTATCCTCACTTACAATATAATCTGCTTCTTTCTTTCACTCATTTAAATATTCATCTTTTATCTGTTTCTTTTCTAGCTTTTATCTGTCATCTCTGTTTTCTGGATTAGAAGCTAATATTTAAAGAAGTTTTTGACATAATTTAAAACAAAAACATAGATTGGAAGAGCATATTTTATATTTCCGTATTCCAGCAGGTCAGTTTACTGCCTTCCATTGATTTAACTGCGATCACATCCAGGACAAACAGGTGACCGCAGCAGGCCTCTGGACACTCTCAGGAAAATCATTATTGTCAAAGAAAGCAGCAGATACGAGAAATGATTCATCTAAAATCCTAATTTTGTGGTGCACCTCAAGGATCTGTGTTCAGTCCACTTCCACTGTTTTTTGATTTAGTTTCTTATACTTAAAATAAGACAAAATTACCTTACAAGTAACTTTCAGCAGGTATCAGAAGCTTGTTTTAAGCTATTATACAACTGAATGATTCAAAAGAGAAAGCACAAAACTCAAGGTCAGATATTTCAATATAAATCCAACTTAAATCATAAAAAGTGTTGGTATTGATAGCCCTGTTACGATACAAAATGTTGCTGGACAATAAATTGCCTCAGTAGTTATTGCGATAAATGATAATATTGTTATGCTAAGGACACATTTTCACAGATCGATAAACTTTAAATTCTATTTAAAGTTTAAACATTTAACCTGGAACTGGAAGAGATTTTAAATATCCAAAAATAAATAAACAATAAAATGAATTATGAAGTCTCTGTAAACTAAACTGTTCTTAAAAGAGGCCAGTTGAGACCAAAGCACCAGAATGAAGACTTTAACATCCAGTTTTTGGTAGGAAAAGAAAAGAGAATTATTGAACTCTTTTTAGTTAAACACTAACCCACATAAAGAAAGAAAGACATATTCTCACTGAACCCAGGAAGGTGGAGCCATTAAGCTTCTTGCAGAGAACAACTAGTTGTGCAGAAACTAGTCGTTCTAGTTTCTGCACAACTCTTTAGTGCTCAACTCTCTAGTTAAGCACTAAAGAGTTGGACAAAGGTTTACACTCATAGAGCATTTTTTAATTTCACCCAACAGCTGAACATCCCTAACTTTTTCTAGTCGTGCATGCCTGCTATGTTTGCTCAGCGCAGATTTCTCTCAAAGCGATGAAATCAGGAACTCTTGACGTTTTTGTTTTTTCCTGCAGGATCCCGGCTCCAAGCGCAGTAAAGCTGCTCCCCGGGTGGCGGCGCTGGCGAGCCTGCTGCCTCCGGTCAAAGCCACGTCGCTGAAGAGGATCAGCCAAACTCTGCAGGTGAACCGCCTGCACGCTTCCAATGTGCCGTCTGCTGCAAAATAACAATAAATGCTTGTGAGCCATAAATTGTCCCAGAAGTTACAGTGAGAATAAATAATGTTTCAAATAATCCGCCATTCTCAAAGATCAATAAACTTTAAATTGTCATGTAGATTTTCCACTGGAACTGGAGGACATTTTAAATTTATGCTTATTGTTTTATATTAATGTTGGAAATTTTTAACATAGTTAAAGATTTGACTGAACATGTTTAAAAGCCACTAAAATCTGAAATAATTGGAATAAACATGAGTAATAAATACTGATAATAATGGTTGAGTTTGAATCTTGAGTTCATTTCTAATGGATTTTCTTGGACAGAACTTTAAACGAAACAGATTTTTTTTTTTAGTTTGTACAAAAACTTGACATTGAAGGGTAATCCCTCACCCTGTGTGGTTTTAGTAATCTGGGATTACAGTGGTGCTAATCTGAATTCAGGCAAAGTCAATTCCTGCAACTCAGTAAATGGATCAAATCTAAACGAACATAAAGCAGGAAAAGTTTAGTTTAAGTTAAAGTCAGACAGAAGATTCAGGTCGTTTAAAATAAATCATATCATTTAAATCCCTGCAGCGATCCGTCAGTTTCCGCAATGAGAGTCGAGCTTCAACTCTCCCGCATCCTGCGCCTCTTCCTCCTCTTCCTTCCTCTTCCTCGTCCACGATCACGTCGCGTGTCGTTTCCGCGACCGTCTCCAGCCCCCCGTCCTGCGTGACCACGTCGCGGGTTTCCACGGCAACAGGCCCCGCCTCCAAGCGCCGCGACAGCAAACTGTGGAGCGAGACGTTCGACATCCGGGTCGGAGCGACTCTGGGTCCAAAGGATCAAAAGACAAGAGGTCATTTTTCTCTTCTCAGGAAGGAGAAATAGATTTATGTTTTCACACTGCAGAAACACAACAGCATGTTACTGTAAACATATCATTTAAATAAGAAAAACATCTTACAAGGATCTTTTTCTGCACAATATGCAAGTTTAAGTCAATAATTGTTTAATTTTGAAAATATTTGTTCCTTTGGCAGGTCATTTCACTTATAAAAATAAAGTTTTCCATGTTTTAAGTGAAATAATCCCTAAATATTAGGGATTTGTAATTTAACATAATCCCCCACTAGTTTTGACTCATTAAAAAAAAGTAGACCAAAGATTCTTGGTAAGATTTTGTGTTTTTGCAGTGTAAGTAAATTGTGATTTTTCATTCCACATAACTGTTTCCTGCAGGCCATTTTGAGTTGGCTCAAGGAGAACAAGACTTGGTGGAAGATCTAAAGTTGGCCAAGAAGGTAAACAGCAGCCTGGTTGTTTGTTGCTTTGCTGTCTTCCTGCTTTTTACATGGATTCATTTCCAGGCGTACCACGACCCGATGCTGAAGCTGTCCATCATGACGGAGCAGGAACTGAACCAGATCTTCGGTACTCTGGAGTCACTCATTCCTCTGCATGAAGGTGAGACCAGGTTTCTGATTAAAGGCCAGATAAAACATTTAAAACTGAAATTTGACGTCAGTTCCTGTTTGTAAATTTAGAGTCAAAAGTTGGCAGCAAAAATTTGGAGTGTTAAATTATAAGAAGGAAAAAATGGTGGTTCATTGATTGAAGTCATATTTTCACCAGATTATTCATTCAAATTCATTCATTTATAAATGGCAGTTTCCAACTCAATATTTAGTTTTCAGGCTACATATTTAATTTACAAACTGAACATTTTGTTTTAAAATTTTCTTGTTCAGTAAATATTGAGCTACAAACTAAATATTTAGTTAGCGAGTTAAATATTTATCTTAAAGCTAATTATTTAGTTAACCAATAAAATATTCAGCTTCAATAGCTTTTGATAGCAAGCTAAATATTTAGTTAACCAACAATTTTAGTTTGCGAGCTAAGTATTTAGTATTTAAATATTTAGCCCAAAGTTGTAGTTGCCAGTCGAACTGAACCAGGGTGTTAGAAAATCAAACTCGGATTTATTGCTGAAATGTTACTTTTCAGTTAGTTTTGTCTTTCATCAAGTGTGCTAAGATGTTTAAACTTGAATTTAGACCAAAATCTTGTGGAAAGCGTTTGTGTTTTTGCAGCGCAGCAACAATTTCTGACTTTTCTCAGACTTGCTGAGTCGGCTACGAGACGCCAGGAAACCCGACGGAACCACAGAAAATGTCGGACACATCCTGACCGGCTGGGTGAGCGTTCCTCTGTCTCATGGAATCAGCTTTGAAGCTGGGCGGGAAACCTCATGGCGATGTGCTCGTGTCCCTGCAGCTCCCTTGTCTCTCCTCCTACACGCCGTACTGCAGCAACCAGGTGCAGGCCAAGGCCCTGCTGGACCAGAAGAAGCAGGACCGGCGGGTCCAGGACTTCTTGCAGCGCTGCCTGCAGTCTCCGTTCAGCAGGAAGCTGGACCTGTGGAACTTCCTGGACATCCCTCGCAGCCGGCTGGTCAAGTACCCGCTGCTGCTCAGAGAGATCCTGAAGCACACGCCCAACGACCACCTGGACCGGCAGCACCTGGAGGAAGCGGTGAGGAAACCTGGCGGCTGCTCTGCTGGTTGTTTTGTGGCCAAAGTTGGTCCTCGAGGGCTGGGATCCTGCATGCTGCAGTTCTCTACCTGGGTGTAACAACCTTTTCAGCATGTCAAAGTTCTTCTGAGGTCCTCTAATGAGGCACCACTGGATCCAGGCGCTTTAAATCATGCTGGTCCTCGACTTTTGGCACCCCTGTTCTAGACGTTCATTCTGACTACTGTCAAAAATGTTGCTAGTTTTTCATAGCAAATTTATTTTGCTTTTTCAAAATCAAAAATGTATTTTCTCTCTTTCTATTTTTTTTATTTCTCCAATTAATCTAAATATTCTGGATAATTTTCTTAGCAAATATTTTACTTTTCAAACTCATAAATTTTTAATTCTTTTCCATGAAATTTCAGACATTAATCTTAAAACTTGATTTTTTTTCCCGCAAATGATTGAGGTTCAGAAAGTTCTGAGTTTTTCTAGGAAATTTTTCCAATTTAAAAATCTGACATTTTCTTGCAAATTTTCAACTTTTCAAACTCAAAAATTTCTGAGATTTTTTTGTAGATTTTTTTAGATCAATCTAAGATTTTGGAGTTTTGTGGAAATTTATTCTTAATATTGTTCTATCTAGAAGGGCCCTAACCTGGCATCATGACAACACTTTCATCGCGTTCAGTTAAGAGTGCAGCATTGATTTAGATGCATTTTAAATGTGTGTTTTGTAAAATAAAACATTTCCACCACAGCTTCCTGCCTGTGAAGTCGAAGCTGGTGGTTTTGGGAGTTCCTCCCAGTTTGACCAGCTGACCTTTCCGAGCCGGAAGTCATAATTTCCCAGTCTTGTTGCGATCTGAAGGCAGCTGGTGTCTGGCCTCCAGATGCTGATGGTGCAGAGCCTGGTGGCGGACATCAACAGGCGGACCGGAGAGTCGGAGTGTCAGCACTACAAGGACCGTCTGCTGTACTCGGATGAAGGACGGCGGGACCAACTGATCGACCGGTCCAAGACGCTCAGCTGCCACGGAGAGCTGAAGAACAACAGAGGAATCGTTGGTGTCTCTCCTCATTCCTCTCATTCTCATCCACTTTCACTGTTTTCAAACAATGAGTTTCTCACCAAACTCGTCGTTTTTCTGTGGTTCTGCAGAAGCTCCACGTGTTTCTGTTCCAGGACATTTTGGTGATCACCCGGTCCGTGTCGCTGAACAGCCAGCCGGTGAGCTACCAGCTCTGCCGCCAGCCCATCCCCATCCGCCAGCTGGACCTGGAGGACGTATCAGACGGCGAGATGAGAGTGGGCGGGTCCATCAGAGGGGCCTTCAGCAACAGCGAGCGGAGTCAGTGACATTTTAGATTTTGTCCTAGCGCATACATCTTTCTACAAATGAAATAAGACAAAACTAACTTATGAGTAACTTTTCATTTAAATGAAAAGTTACTCATAAGTAACTTTATGAGTAAAGTAACTTATAATCTGCCAGTGGAGCTAGCACTTTGTAATGATTCTTCAACAATTATTGTCTTAAAACATCTATATTTTCTTGCTGAAAAGTTACTTGTAAGTTAGTTTTGTCTCATTTCAAGTGTGATAAAATATTTGCACTATTAGCCAAACACTTGGTAATATTTTGTGTAGTTCTCCAAATTTGTATATTTCTGTAGGTAAGAGCCACAGTTACACCCCTGTTTTAGAGTGTTGGATGATTTTTTACCAGATATTTTTAAAATAATTTTTCATTAAGACTAACTGTCTTCTCTTCTCAGCCAAGAACTTCTTCCGGGTTTCGTGCCGGTCAGGAAGCCAGGTGCAGACGCACTGCTTCCAGGCGAGCGACGCCTTCAACAAGCAGCAGTGGATCAACTGCATCCGGCAGGCCAAAGAGGCGGCGGGAGAGCACACTCCTCACTCGGAACGGCGCACAGAACCAGAACCAGGAGAACCGATCGATTCGGGCGAAGATTCAGGAATCAAAAACGAAACTTTGGCAAAGACAGAAGATCTAAATCTGGAAGATATTGGTTCATTCTCAGAGAGCATGATGGCTAACAATGATGGGACGTCGTCAGTAGAACCAGAGATAGACGGTGAGACGGAGTCGGCACCGGAACCAGAACCACCTGCAGGCTGCAGGATGGACCAGGAAGCAGAGACTTCAGATGGGAAGGTCGCTCTGAATGAGGAGGAGGAGGAGGAAGTCAGCAGGGACTCCGGAGACAACGAGGAAATGATCTGCAGATGCTGACGTGAAATAATCAGAACTGAATTCAACCGAATAAAGAATCAATTCAAATACTCAACGAAATGTTGGTTCTACTGCTTAATATTAGCTAAACTGTGACCTTCCAACCACAAACTGGGTGTTTTTTTTTTATTAAAGTTTTCTCTTACACTGCAAAAAACACAAAATCTTACCAGGTATTTTAGGTCTAGTTTCTAATGCAAACATCTTAGTACATTTTAATTAAGATGAAACTAATTCAAACAAATTTTCAGCAAGATAGCAAAAGATCTTGTTTTAAGCCAATAATTTCTTAATATTTATTTTAATAACAAACTAGATCTGCTGGATTTTTCTATTCTTTTTGAAAAATGTTTCCAAAGTTATAAGTAAAACAATCTGTCAGTGAAACTACTACTTCTTTATTAATATTCAAGAATTATTTACTTGTCCTAAAAAATTCAGTTTCTTGAGGCAATTTTTTTTCTTTTCAAAGTGAAATTTTCTTGCTCTTTTCTAGACATTTTCTGAGATTTTTTTATCTTACTGCACATTTTTATTTTAAAAACGTGCTGGATTATTTCACTCCAACATGTTTTAGTGAAATAATCTGCCATTGGAACTAGAACTTGGTTTCTAGGTAACAACACAGGCCCGTTAACTTTAAATAATCTGAACTTTTTCATCAATGTTTAAGCAAACTCCTTTGTCTTGCTGAAAAGTTTCTTATTATTTAGTTTTCACTTATTTCAAGTGTTCTGTGATATTTGTAGTAGAAACTAGAACAAAAATACTTGGTAATATTTTGTGTTTTTGCAGTGCATCTTCAAGTTCCAGTGTTAAGAGTTTTTCACAAAATATTTGAAAATGACGTCAAAACAAAATGATCATTTATTGCAATAATTTATCATCCAGTAAAACGTATATAATTTCAACTAGAAACTAGAGAAAAATCTAAAATTTGTGTTTCTGCAGCGAATAAAATTAATTGCAGACAGACTATATTTGGCTTTGTTTGCTGCAGCTCATTTAGCCACTCTGACAGATGGTGGCGCTATTTTCATTGTTCTAACTCTCACTGTAAAACCTGGTTTTATTTTGTGCCGAGCATTCAGCTTTACGTTCATGTTTGGAAAAAAAGAAGCTAATTTTGTATCATCCAGGTGGGTTTGGGGTTTTAAATGCTGTTTTATAAACATTTCATTGTTTGTCTCAGCGAGGAGTTGACCCAGTTTCAGTGGAAATGGAGAGGAAACCATTTAGCAGCAGAACCATTCATCTTTTAGAGCATTTTCAGTTTTAAAATCAGAACCAAGAGTCCATCGGTTTATGTTTCTGTGTTTTTTAAATCTCAGACAGATCCCAGGTGGTTTTTGTGTAAAGAGAAAGCTGATGTATATATATATTGTACATGAAGACTATATATGAGGAGTATGTTCATGTGAATGCCTGAATTATTGTTTATTATATGTAACTCATAATTCAGGAATATTATTTCAGCTAAATGTGTCCTAGTGTTGATCATAACTGATTGCCAATCCCAGAAGCACTGAAAGGAAACTGTCCCCTTTATTCTGATGCATACAAAAAAGAAATTCAGGAATATCTTTGTTTAATCAAAGACTCAATAAATGTCCAAAGTGTCTGAATGATTTTGTCTGCGTACAGGTTGGATGTCATTTGTAAATGAGTGCAAAAAAGAGATGCAAACATTTTCCCTGCAACAAATAAACCAGGATTATGGAAAAGTTCATGTTACGATCATACGATCAATTCTGATTTTGTGTAGGGAATAACTTCAAGAACAAAACTGAATTTTAACATTAATCTGAGAAAATATCAGTTAATCGGATTAAGTAACAGAAAAACCAAGATTGCCTTGTGCTTTGGATAAAATGGATAGTAAGATTTTATTATTTTTCAAACGAATCAGAATGGATAAATACATGGTGATATTTTATTATTTTTCAAAATGAATCCTGAATAGAAAGTTAAAAAAAATTCAACGTTTTGAACCAACGTATAAGCTCACATGAGTTGATTTTTGTGTTTTTATTTACATTAGTCCTCTGAGATCAAACTGCAGCACAGTCGTTTGTCCAGCAGGTGGCAGTAAAGCAGTTTTGTTGAACTGGCCGCAGGTTTAACTCTGAAGAAGATCGGTTCTCGGCGGCGGAAGCATGGCGCGGGTTTTGTGCGGGGCTACCTTCCTCCGTTGCGGGCTTTGGAGGTAACAGCAGTGAGCAAGCGTCGACCGAGTGGAGGATCTCACAATGGAGGACGGCGTCAGCCGGAGAGAGGCTTGCCCGGTGAGGAGAGTGTCGGCTGCCGCGGACTTTAGCTACCGGGACTGCGAGCTGCTCGGTTCGACCCCCGGCCGAGGAAGCTACCCTGCCGCGGCCAGGCGGAACCCTGCGGCCGCGGGGAAGATCTTGGAGCGGAGGAAATCAGCACCGCAAGTGGTCCACCAGCGACATATGCCGAGTGAGCCCAAGAAGTTCCACATACCGAGGAAAACCAAAGAGAAAAATGGTATGATGCTCCAAATTAATGGCGTTTTATTTATAAGAGTTCAATTATCAGACAAGTATGTGTCCATTGTCGGACACTTCCACCTATCCTGTCAGTTTAGTTAGCAACAAGGCATTTGGATGCTTATCACCATGAGTGTCATTTATGTTGCTCTGCTCCTCTGTGAAAAGATTATGTTCAGTTTCCAATCTTTATGTTCAGTTCAAAGATCTAATGTTGTTAAACTAGCGGCTAATGCAATAATGCGATGCTAACAGCTAGCGGCCAGTCGCTTTAGTTACAAGCTTATAAACGTTTTAACGTTTGGTGATATTTCATTATTTAAGAATTATGTCTTATTTTCCTGCTGTAGGTACTAAAATATACCTTTATTTTCACCCTATAGCTTGTGTTTGGCTTTGTGTAGATTGTAGTTTTTAGCTAAAGGGAGGTAACCGCCTCCATGTTTACATTATTATAGCCGTTAGCGCGAGTGTCCGGTTATGGATGCACTAATTAAGGACACCAAAACAAAACTACAGAGGACCTCAAATTCATTTTTACTTTGTTGTACCTCAGATTTAATCATAGATAATAGGAAAATAAACATTACTCTAGCCTTGATATGGACTATATTCACATGGAAGGATGTGAGAAACTAGTTTTGTTGATTGTTTTTAAAGTAACTCCTATAAACGGTGTAAGCCATGATAATTTTATTTACCTTGAGGGAAATTTGTTTTTTATTTTGCTCGCAGACAAAAACTAATGGTATTATTCTGCTTTGTGATTTTTGCATTTGAGAAATCAAAGCTTCTCCTTATTTTTCAAGGTTTCCCAGATTAGAGGAGCTTCATGGTCATCATTTATCTTCAGTTTAGCTCATAAATTATCTGCTATTAAAGTCAGAGAGTTATGAACAGTCAGAAAGGTTCACTTTGGTCTTTCACCTGCAGTGATGTATGTTTTTGGTCTTATTGGAAGACAAAGGAATGATCCAGACCAGGTTGTTACATATAATTTCAGTTTTTACTTTTTAAAGTTTTAGTTATATATATATATATTTATTAGTCACATCATTTAATTTATTTTTGCATTTGTTTTTATGTTCTAAATTGTTTTGCTTACTTATTATTATTTTATTTTTGAGCCAGAGCAGTTTTACTGCTATCGATTTTAGCGGGCACACTACAAATATTGTAAACAAAAATAAATATACCACTAATCAAAAAATACATTACAAAAATATATACATTTTCCATTTAAGATAAAAATAAAAAGCTTTTGAACGTAAATATGTTCTATGCAAAACTACACAAGTGGCAGTTTTAGCTTCAACTGATTCAAATTATGTAAAAAAAACATTTAAAATCTCATATTAATCACCTTTTGCTTTCTAATTATTTATCAGTTAATCAAAAAGTAATCCACAGATCAGCCTCGCACTGTTTTGATGTTCAGTCCAGCAGAAACTGCTGAGTTTTTCTCATGATGGGAGAAATATTTTATAGCTGCAGATGCGTCTTTTGCTACAAATAATCAGGTTTCACTAAAGAGCGATGTTGTTGCATTTTAGTCAATAACATAATAAATGTTTTCTTCTTCAGCTCTGTTCCAGTTCGTCTCCACTGAGTCCAGGGAGTATGAGGACATGAAGACCATCCTGACGTCCGGCTACATCGACAGCAACTCTTCAGGTTGCTTCACTTACAGCAACCCTCGGCTCGTCCACAGCGAGCTGCTGGAGAAGGAAGTGAGCAACGAGCTCGTTGTTGCGTTTTGTTTCACTAGAATCCATCAAAAAGTCTCTTTTTACGTATCATCAGCTTAAAAAAAGATGTTTTGGTTCAAATATCTTCAGTGATTTCCTGAACACATGTAAGCCTTGAAAAAACCCACCTGGTGCTACAGAAACAAAGGCATGAGTTGAATTGTTAGCAGCAGGAACACATGATGGATTTGAACTCTGGTGACTTGATAGAAATATACCAGATTAAAGCTGCACCATGTATGTTGTCATTTCAATATTTATGAAGCAAAGGACGGTTCATAACATTTGGTTAATATATTCCAAGTGTTGTGTACAGCAGTATTTCAGATATGAAAGACAAAAACCCCAAATCAATAATGATCAATATAGACTGAAATGAAATGCTTACATACTGAGATGTTATCGTCCAGCCCTATGTTGATAAGTGCACAGGATGTTTAAGGAGAGAAATAAATGTGTTCAAATTCAGAATAGTTTGTGCTCAATTACTTTAGTTCCTTGGTTTTCACCTGCTGGGAAAAAATGATGGTTTATGTTTCAGTTCGTGGAAAAACGGAGAGAGATGAAAGCAGACGGAAGGACGGATAAGGAGCTGGAGGAGAGCTACTGCTTCCTGGCGACTAATTCACTCAAGGTAGGACGATTAAACAGCGATGTTTTCATAATAAAGAGAACAAATTCAGCTATTTCTGTTGTCTATTTAATATTACGTTTGGTTTTTTTTACTCTTGCAGCTGCCTGTTCTCTGTGAGAAAGGACTAACGGTCGGTCGGAGTAAAAACACGGTGCTGGGAAACCCGACTAAAGGTAGGAGACATTAATTCATCTAAAATTTACTGAGGTACAGCTGATTGTGGGTCTTGAGGGAATGTTGAAACTTTACTCCATGAAGTGTATTAACTCAAAATCAGCTCTTATTGGTGTCACATCATTAATTTTTGGCTGAGAAGTTGAGACTCATCCGCCGTGAATCGGCGCTATTTACGGTGAAAACTTAGTGAGCTTGTCGAGTGTTTATATTTCCAAATGGAATTGCATAAAGTGAATTTTATGGCTCATCTTGGAATCTGTTTGGTCCGTTTCTCGTTCTGGTTATGAGACACTGCCGCTATCTTTGATTTGGAATCAGTTTTTCTCCCCTACTGGGTGATCAGTGGCGCCCTCTGCTGGATGGCGGCCAAACTGCAACACTGAAAGAAGGTTTCAAACACCTGTTATTAGTTAATCCAATGAAAATTATCTTAGTCTAATAAATAATTTATCGATTATTACTTTATTTATTTGATTCAAACATGTTTAAAATTGAAATACCGAAATATATATTATATTTAGATAACAATATGTTTGAAAAAGAGGGAGCAGAAATATAAATGTATTTAATCCTCCCTTTTATATGCCTTACTTTTTTACTCGTTATTCTTTATTTAAAGAAAATAAAATATACAAAATTAGGCAAACAATAATAATCTTAAGTCTATTAACCCCCTCAGACCAGACGTCCACTGAAATGAACATAATACATTTTCTGGGTTTAGATTAGTGAAAAGAAATAGGAATTTTGTCATTTGAATGATTTTTATTACTCACTAGCTTCTTATTGACCAGTGATATTGATCAGAGGCATCAAACAAGACAAGCATTGCTCTGAAACTAGAGATGGGGAGGAGAAGATGGTCTGTTTTCATCAAAAGTATACATGTAATTTGGCAATATTTCCAGTGATAGTATTTTTAGTTGTTTTTAAAATGTTTTTATCATTAAATTGCAGAATTTCTATCAAATCTGAATGTCCATCCCATTGGACATCAAGACTTAGAGCAGAAGTCTTGATGGTAACTAAATATTAGCCATTACTTAATTATCTAGTGTCAATATACAGAGAAAAAAAATCATCTGTAAACATTGTTTATCTTATTTGTGGTTTCCAAATTTATTTTATTGGATTTTTTATTTTAGTTTTTTATATAGTTATAAATTCTGACATTTTTTTCTCTTTATTTTAATTCTGAATATAAATGAGTTTTGAAGGATGTCAAAGGTTAATTTCTAAAACATATGGTGACAAAGTGATGGAAATAATTTTTCTCCCTATAAACTGTTTCATAGACATTATTTTACTTCCAGCAGGTAGTTTGAAGTCGTGTTCAGAATGAGCTTGTTGTTGCAGGCGTGTATCTGTCAAGGTTTTCGGACCTGTTGCAGGCGCGACCTTTGACCCCTGGGACGACCGGGGAGCTCCTCATCCTCAAGGTGATGAAGGTGAGCCAGCTTCCAGGTGATGCTCATCATCATCAGCGTCATTTATTTCAGTTTTGAGTGTTGTGCAGCGTCTGTTTCGGGTTTCAGGGGAAGGTGAAGAGCATCTACGAA